CCTACAAGGACGTTGTAACTACCCAAATGCAACTAAAATGACATCAATTGTTTATGTAATACAGTAGTAAATGGTTCTTATGTGGTTTCTTCATTGCCACAATTATTCAACCCCTTTAAAGACTACCACTCTGAAGAACAGAGGTTCATACAGGTGCTTTCCATCAGGTATTGAAAACACCTGTGGATGTCACCGAGCAGCAATCAAGCATAATAAGCACCAATTAGGCAGCTTTAAAATGACTGTGATACTCAGCTCCTTCTAGCATTTACTGGTGTGGTTACAAACATGGTGAAGGCAAGAGAATGGTCCAGGAAGACAAGAGAAGAGGTGATTTCTCTTCACAGGAAGGGCAATGGCTATAAGAAGATTGCAAAGATGTTAAACATACCAAGAGACACCTTAGGAAGCATCATTCGCAAATTCAAGGCAAAGGGCACTGTTGAAACGCTACCTGGTCGTGGCAGAAAGAAGATGCTGACTTCGACTGCTGTGCGCTACCTGAAGCGTAGAGTGGAGAGAAGTCCCCGTGTGACTGCTGAGGAACTGAGAAAAGATTTGTCAGATGTGGGTACAGAAGTTTCAGCCCAGACAATAAGACGCACACTGCGTAATGAAGGCCTCCGTGCCAGAACTCCCAGGCGTACCCCCTTGCTGTCTCCAAAGAATAAGAAGAGTCGACTGCAGTATGCAAAAGCCATGTGGACAAACCACAAAAGTTGTGGGATAGTTTCTGTGGACTGATGAAACAAAATTAGAACTGTTTGGGCCCATGGATCAACGCTATGTTTGGAGGAGGAAGAACAAGGCCTATGATGAAAAGAACACCTTGCCTACTGTGAAGCATGGTGGAGGGTCAATCATGCTTTGGGGCTGTTTTGCTTCTGCAGGTACAGGGAAGCTTCAGCGTGTGCAAGGTACCATGAATTCTCTTCAGTACCAGGAGATATTGGATGGAAACGTGATGCAGTCCGTCACACACCTGAGGCTTGGGAGACGTTGGACCTTTCAACAGGACAATGATCCCAAGCATACCTCCAAGTCCACTAGAGCATGGTTGCAGAGGAAAGGCTGGAACATTTTGGAGTGGCCATCGCAGTCACCAGACTTAAATCCGATTGAGAACCTCTGGTGGGACTTAAAGAAAGCAGTTGCAGTGCGCAAGCCTAAGAATGTGACTGAACTGGAGGCCTTTGCCCATGAAGAATGGGCGAAGATACCCGTAGATCGCTGCAAGACACTTGTGTCAAGCTATGCTTCACGTTTAAAAGCTGTTATAACTGTAAAAGGATGCTGTACTAAGTACTAAGATTGAATGTCACTTGGGGGTTGAATAAAACTGATAATGCTGTGAGAGCACAGAAAAGACATTTGTGGTTATTTCATTATAACTGTTATGTTATATTTGTCTGACCTACAAGTGCCTCTTTAATGTAAATGTAAGCAAGATGACTGAATGATCAAAAGCAATGTCAAACTGGCCAAAACACTCAATTTCAGTGGGGGTTGAATAATTTTGGTCACAACTGTACTTATTTCCCTCATGAACATGCAAATCAGTGCATAATCTTTTAGACATGCATTTCTTTTGAATTTTTTGTTGCTATTCTGTCTCTCAGTGTTACAATACACCTACCATTCGATTTTTAGACTGGTTATTTCTTTATGAGTAGGCAAACATGTAAAATGACAGAGCGGGGTCAAAGCATGCTGAAGTCACCAACCGTCTGCAGGGTCAATAGCTAAAGACCTCCAAACTTCATGTGGCCTTCAGACTAGCACAACAACAGTGCATAGAGAGCTTCATAGAATGGGTTTCCATGGCCAAGCAGCTGCATCCAAGCCTTACATCACCAAGTGCAATGCAAAGTGTCAGATGCAGTGGTGTAAAGTATGCCGCCACTGGTCTCTAGAGCAGTGGAGATGTGTTCTCCGGATTGACGAATCATGCTTCTCTGTCTGGCAATCCTATGGATGTGTCTGGGTTTGGCAGTTGCCAGGGAAACGGTACTTGCCTGACTGCATTGTGCCAAGTGTAAAGTTTGGTGCAGAGGGAATTATGATGTGGGGTTATTTTTCAGTGGTTGGGCTTGGTCCCTTAGTTCCAGTGAACGGAACTCTTAAGGCATCAGCATACCAAGACATTTTGGACAATTTAATTCTCCCAACTTTGTGGAAACAGTTTGTTGGGGATGGCTCCTTCCTGTTCCAACATGACTGCGCACCAGTGCACAAAGCAAGGCCCATGAAGACATGGATGAGCGAGTTTGGGGTGGAGGAACTTGACTGGCCTACACAGAGTCCTGACTTCAACCCGACAGAACATCTTTGGAATGAATTAAATTGGAGACTGTGAGCCAGGCCTTCTCATCCGACATCAGTGCCTGACCTCACAAATGCGCTTCTGGAAGAATGGTCAAAAATTCCCAAAGACACACTCCTAAACCTTGTGGAAAGCCTTCCCAGAAGAGGTGAAGCTGTTATAGCTGCAAAGAGTAGGCCAACTCAATATTGAACCCTATGGACTAAGAATGGGATACCATTAAATCTCATGTGTATGTAAAAGCAGGTGTCCCAATATTTTGGTAATATATTTAGCACAGGACAGCAAGAATGGGTCCTGGAAGGCAGATAAGTGTCCCCATTATTTGGGTTGGGGTGCCTATAAGGGGAAAGAAAAGAAGCCCAGTTGGCAAACTCAGGGATTGGGGTACTAAGGGGTTCCAGGATGATCTGATAGAGAGGGAAATATGACTTTCAGTTTTCATATAAGATCTGGAATTCAGAGGCTCTTTGGTGGAAAAGAGCCTCCAACCCTGATTACAGGTCCTCAAAGGGTTAACACGTGTGTGAGATGGCTGAAAAGACCAGGAAACAGTCAGCAGGTCTGTGTGAGGTGATGCGTGAAGCAGGACACACTTAGGAAGAAGAGGAAGTTTGTTACTGCTTGTTAGGGACAAGCTTTACTGCAGATGAATCAAGTCTTTATCTTGAACACCAAAGTTATGGACTCTTTTTGTTTAAATTGCTGAAAAAAGCTTTTTGTTTCCCTGTATTTTGGAAGAAAAATAAAGACTATTTCCTTTTAAAAGTGGCTGGCTAATGTTCTGAACTGCAAAGATGATAATATTCTGTATATTTCTTTAACTTTTCAATGTTTCACAGCATAAAGCCTCATGACTGACTGCGAGCATTTCTGAACAATGGCAGAGTCAGTGTGTCCCAGTAGAAAGGTTTAGGACAGAAAGTTTCCTCTCATCAATATACAAGATGTCCAGCTTCTAAATCTTTAACCCTTTGTTAGGACAGACAGTGTTCAAATCTTGTTTACAAGTGGTAAAGAGAAGTGCCAGCACAGACCAACTAGGGTTTGTTATGGAAAACACAGGCCTTCAGCCTCCTTATAAACCAAGAGAACTACAAATGATTTTCCAGTGCTGAAGTTATCTGAAAAGAGCAGTTAAAGTATGAATAAAGGCAAAAGATTTTTTTTTGAGTTTAGAACAGAGTGGAGATTAGAACACTGTTATGTTTTCTTTTATGCCTATGTCCCTATTAGGGAGATTCACTGTCAGGGCTCCGGGGTGTGACCAGAGGTATGTGACTGACGCAGGGAAACGCAGACTTCAGATATGTTATAAACAATGTAATTTATTAACACTAACAATACAAACATAAACACAGTGCAAACAAACCAAACCAAACTACCCACAGATAACAGTACATACAATGCAAGCGTCGTCAGGCAGGCCGGGTCAATATCAATCGGGCAGGTAGGTACAGGGGGAGCAAGCGGAGAATGGTCGGGGTCACAAGCCAGGTTCAGCAGGTAGCGGGCAGCGTGGTACAGAGAGTCAGGCAGAGGAGAATGGTCAGACAAGCCAGGGATCAGGAGCAGGCGAATGGTCAGACAAGCCAGGTATCAGAGCAGGGTCAGCAGAGAATCAGGCGGGATATCAAAGACTGGCACACCGGGCAGGACTCCGGGCAGCGGCACACCGGGCAGGGGCACACCGGGCAGAGGCACACCGGGCAGAGGCACACCGGGCAGAGGCACATCGGGCTGGACTCCGGGCAGAGGCACATCGGGCTGAAATCCGGGCAGAGGCACATCGGGCTGGACTCCGGGCAGAGGCACATCGGGCTGGACTCCGGGCAGAGGCACTCCGGGCAGTGGCACACCGGGCAGAGGCCACTCCGGGCAGAGGCACATCGGGCTGGACTCCGGGCAGAGGCACATCGGGCTGGACTCCGGGCAGAGGCACATCGGCTGGACTCCAGAGCAGAGGCACATCGGGCTGGACCAGGCGGGCAGAGGCACATCGGATTACCAGGCGGAATCAGCAGGCACCGGGCCACCAGGCGGAGCAGCAGGCACCGGGCCACCATGCGGAGCAGCAGGCACCGGGCCACCAGGCAGGGCAGCAGGCACGGGCCCCCGGGCGGGGCAGCAGGCACCGGGCCACCGGCGGAGCAGCAGGCACCGGGCCCCCAGGCGGGGCGACAGGCATCGGGCCCCCAGGCGGGGCGACAGGCACCGGGCCCCCAGGCGGAGTAGCAGGACAGGCATCGGGCCCCAGGCGGGGCGACAAGAGTCGGGCCCCCAGGCGGGGGCGACAGGCGTCGGGCCCCCAGGCGGGGCGACAGGCGTTGGGCCCCCAGGCGGGGCGACAGGCGTCGGGCCCCCCGGCGGGGCGACAGGCGTCGGGCCCCCAGGCGGGGCGACAGGCGTCGGGCCCCAGGCGGGGCGACAAGGTCGTCGGGCCCCCAGGCGGGGCGACAGGAGTCGGGCCCCCCGGCGGGGCGACAGGCGTCGGGCCCCCAGGCGGGGCGACAGGCATCGGGCCCCCAGGCGGGCGACAGGTCGTCGGGCCCCCAGGCGGGGCGGACAGGAGTCGGGGCCCCCAGGCGGGGCGACAGGCGTCGGGCCCCCAGGCGGAGCGGGGCGACAGGCATGGGCCCCCAGGCGGAGCGACAGGTCTCGGGCCCTCAGGCGGAGCGGCGGGCGCCGGACCCCCAGGTGGAGCGACAGGTCTCGGGCCCTTAGGCGGAGCGGCGGGCGCCGGACCCCCAGGCGGAGCGACAGGTCTCGGGCCCCCAGGCAGAGCGACAGGTCTCGGGCCCTCAGGCGGAGCGGCGGGCGCCGGACCCCCAGGTGGAGCGACAGGTCTCGGGCCCTCAGGCGGAGCGGCGGGCGCTGGACCCCCAGGTGGAGCGACAGGTCTCGGGCCCTTAGGCGGAGCGGCGGGCGGGACCCCCAGGCGGAGCGGGCCCCCAGGCAGGCGCGCCGGACCCCCAGGCGGAGCGACAGGTCTCGGGCCCTTAGGCGGAGCGGCGGGCGCCGGACCCCTAGTTGGAGCGATAGGTCTCGGGCCCTCAGGCGGAGCCGCGGGCGCCGGACCCCCAGGTGGAGCGACGGGTTTCGGGCCCCCAAGCGGAGCAGCGGGTCTCAGGCCCCCAGGCAGAGCGGCGGGCACCGAGTCACCAGGCACGACAGTGGGCTCCAAGTCAACTGGCAAGACTGCGAGCACCGAGCCAACTGGCGGAACAGCGGGCTTCGAGTCGTCTGGCAAGACTGCGGGCACCGAGTCGTCTGGCAGGACTGCGGGCACCGAGTCGTCTGGCAAGACTGCGGGCACCGAGTCGTCTGGCAAGACGGCGGGTACCGAGTCGTCTGGCAAGACTGCGGGCACCGAGTCATCTGGCAAGACTGCGGGCACGAGTTGTCTGGCAAGACTGCGGGCACCGAGTCGTCTGGCGGAACAGCGGGCATCGAGTCAACTGGCGGAACAGCGGGCACCGAGTCGTCTGGCAAGACTGCGGGCACCGAGTCGTCTGGCAAGACTGCGGGCACCGAGTCGTCTGGCAAGACTGCGGGCACCGAGTCGTCTGGCGGAACAGCGGGCATCGAGTCAACTGGCAAGACTGCGGGCACCGAGTCGTCTGGCAAGACTGCGAGCACCGAGTCGTCTGGCAAGACTGCGGGCACCGAGTCGCCTGGCAAGACTGCGGGCACCGAGTCGTCTGGCGGAACAGCGGGCATCGAGTCAACTGGCGGAACAGCGGGCACCGAGTCATCTGGCAAGACTGCGGGCACCGAGTCGTCTGGCAAGACTGCGGGCACCGAGTCGTCTGGCAAGACTGCGGGCATCGAGTCGTCTGGCAAGACTGCGGGCACCGAGTCGTCTGGCAAGACTGCGGGCACCGAGTCGTCTGGCGGAACAGCGGGCACCGAGTCGTCTGGCAAGACTGCGGGCACCGGGTTATCAGGTACCGGATTGTCTGGCTCGACAGCGGGCATCGGGTCACCAGGTATGACAGCGGGCACTGGGTCACCAGGCATTAGGTTATTTGGCTTGCCAGTGGGCACGCATCATCTGGCAAGGCAGTGGGCACCGGGTCACCAGGCATTGGATCATCTGGCTCGACAGCGGGCATCGGGTCACCAGATCTGACAGCGGGCACTGGGTCACCAGGCATCAGGTCATTTAGCTCGCCAGCGGGCACCGCGTCATCTGGCAAGGCAGTGGGCACCGAGTCACCAGGTACGACAGCGGGCTCTGAGTCAATTGGCACGACAGCGGGCACCGGATCAGGTACCGGATCATCTGGATCAACAGCGGGCATCGAGTCAACTGGCCTAATAGGATCGTCAGGCTGGATCAGTTCATCATGCTGGGTAGAGGCATCAGGCTGAATGCAGGCATCATAAAGGCATCAGGCTGAGTAAAGGCATCAGGCTGAGTAGAGGCATCAGGCTGAGTAGAGGCATCAGGCTGAGTAGAGGCTTCAGGCTGAGTAGAGGCTTCAGGCTGAGTAGAGGCTTCAGGCTGAGTAGAGGCTTCAGGCTGAGTAGAGGCATCAGAGCTGGCTGAATAGAGGCATCAGGCTGAGTAGAGGCATCAGGCTGCAGAGAGGCATCAGGCTGCGTACAGGCATCAGGCTGAGTAGAGGCTTCAGGCTGAGTAGAGGATTCAGGCTGAGTAGAGGATTCAGGCTGAGTAGAGGCTTCAGGCTGAACCATGGAAGGCAGGCTCACCGGTTTGGATACTGGCAGGATGGTATTGGTTGGAAAGAATTTTCGCTTTTTTCTGGTTTTAACTACTGGTGCACTGCAAGTAAACGCAGGTCTGCAAACTAATGGAGCAGCTAGAGACAGAGAAGAGCTGGAGGATGGAACAAGGGAAGGAACAGTCGCTACAGAGGGCTTATTTACAGGGTTAAAGGCAGGATAGGTGCAGCGAGTGGGAACAGGGTACTGACATGCGGTAGATAGCCAAGTATACTGGGCTGTAACTGGAGGAGCTGTTGGGAATACAGGAGTAGAGCTTTGAGGAAATAGATTAGAAGCAGGACTGGGTCTTTGTAAGCTGACTGAGGCTGGGTGCAACAAATCTGTCCATGTCTGCAGTATGGGTTGAACAAAGCTAGCTTGAGCTTACACAAAGCCTGTCTGACCAAAGACTGCACTGCGTTTATACAATCCCTTAATACCTGTGGTGAACATGTGGAATAACGCTCCAGAAAGTAACCCACATCATCCTCTAATAACCACACCACCAGGGACTCTACCTGGTCTGCACTAAATGGTGGCAAAAATTCATCCCTGCATTCGGGGGTACCAGATGAAACCAACTCAGCACAAACCTCAATTAATGGCTGCACCTCAGAGAACTCTGTGCCCTGATCTACTAGAACATGAGCGAGCCGTATACATTCTAGCAGTTCATCCCGGGTATACTCCTTCAGAGTTTGATAAGCATACTCCCTGTCATCAAACACTAGCAGATATAAATACGCAACCTCATCCAGATCCATCCTCCCATCAACAAACCAAGATGGCTTCCCTGTGCAGCCACTTCTGGTCAGGATTGGCCTTGGTGTAATGTCAGGGCTCCGGGGTGTGACCAGAGGTATGTTACTGACGCAGGGAAACGCAGACTTCAGATATGTTATAAAACAATGTAATTTATTAACACTAACAATACAAACATAAACGCAGTGCAATACTAAAACATAACACAGTGCAAACAAACCAAACCAAACTACCCACAGATAACAGTACATACAATGCAAGCGTCGTCAGGCAGGCCGGGTCAATATCAATCGGGCAGGTAGGTACAGGGGGAGCAAGCGGAGAATGGTCGGGGTCACAAGCCAGGTTCAGCAGGTAGCGGGCAGCGTGGTACAGAGAGTCAGGCAGAGGAGAATGGTCAGACAAGCCAGGGATCAGGAGCAGGCGAATGGTCAGACAAGCCAGGTATCAGAGCAGGGTCAGCAGAGAATCAGACAGGAACAGGAACAGGGAACAGGATACAGGGCCCAGGAGAAACACACACCAAGGCAGAGTCTGCAGGTCTGGCCATCCCTTAAATACCCCAGTGTAAGCAGTTTCAGGTGTTTAGCTGGCTGCAAGGTTGAGTCTCTGATTGCTGGGAGCACCCGCTGGCCAGCCCCGGTACTGCAGCCCATAAGGCAGGCGAGTCCCACCATTGCTGGCCAGTCCATTCCTGACATTCACCCTCGCTATTTTTCATATTAACAATTATCAATGAACGTGAAAGAAATCCCATATTTTGTGTTATACCTAGAAACAGTCAGAGGGGAAATGTTTCAGTGGGGGCACTAGCTACGGTGAACTTGCTGCAAACCAGGGATTCCCTCCCTTTGGAGGCATTTACTCTCACTTCCTGATTTGGCTAGGGGACAGGAAGTGAAGGGAAACCCCCCAAATGAGACATAGATGGCAAACAAAAACAAATACCTGGGGTTTTGCCTTTAGTTCCACATTATAATGGCAATTAGCAATTTTTAAATATGTTTATGTGAATGAGAACATTACACAAACATAGTAGGGGTAATCCAATTTCAAAAACAAGGGAATGTGAAAAGAGATTCACAGAAAAGCGGTTACATTATGGACAGAAAGCGATACTCAAAGTAATTTTAAAAAATTATGCTTTATTACACAATGCATATATGGACATATAAGGTAAATACCTCAGTTAGCCATCGCTTCAGAATGAGATAATACATCACATATGACCTAAAATCAATTAAAAACAGACATCATGACCAGTCAAAATAAAAAGGTGACGTAAATACAGTGACACATGGTCTAATATATATGCAGCACTGACACAATGGTTACACCGTCGTGTAGGGGGTGTTTCAGAAAATTATATCAACATGTAAAGCAAGCAATACAGTATAAAAGCTGATCAAAAGTACCAGACAAAGGATACAATAGCCCAATGACCTATATAGGTATATAATAACTGTAGAGAGATGTATATAGGAGCAATCTACCCCCACAACCACTTGCTGGGTAATAACCAAATCAGGTAGTGGTTATAGCAGGCTTAATGGCAAGTATTGGTGGTGAGATTTCAAACAGCAGCAGTCATGTCCATAATACTTGATAGGATGAACTTGATAGCTGTAGTATTTTCACCATGTGACTTCCACAATATAGTAGAAATGGCAGGGCCCTGCTGATATGTAAAGGGGTTCTTCACTGCTACATGTGGGCTACACACCTCCTTAATAATAATACTGTGATGTAGAATACAGGAGCATCCGTGCCTGATTATATAAACATGGGGTGCTGTGCACCTTTCAAGTAGTGTAACATGTTGTCCCCATCCTGAAATAAATAGGTGACATATTGAAAGTCAGTGAGTTTGTCACTTTAAGTAGATAGGCAAATGGTGTAGTGCGCCGTATTCCTTTTATATCACTCATCACCCATGCCTTAGGTGATATTCTCGCAAAATTTCTCCCATCAGGGTAACCGCCCATGGTCCTGGAGGCAGTCGCCACTGTCGGGACTAAAGGCAGACGGGCTCCACTCCCATCCTGGCACTCGTGCAGCCTGGTACCGCCAAATACCGGCGTGTGTTACCGCATCCCCTGCAGGGCTATGTGTGTGGCACCAAGGCGTCCGTCCGGAAGTGACGTAACTGACGTGTGACGTCAGCGCGTTTCGCCGATGGGCGTATCTTGCTCAGCTTCGTCAGGACCAATGAGATGCCTACCTCACATGCATTATTTATAATAGGCTTGTACTGCCCATATATGTAAATCAGCTGGTGGCAATTTAACTCATTGGGAAAAAGAACTAAAACAATCAGGAGATAACGGGTCATAAAACACAGATAAATAAACAGGTACCTGGCTCCACAGTGGGAAGAAAATATTCTTATATTCACACCATGTCATTAGGATGGAGTTCTTAATAGCTAACTCAATCCCCCACAGATGGCAGAAGGCAAACTTACGCTGCAAATCTTCATATTGACTTATTTTTGCAAAAACACTTGGAAGTCAAGTTCAACATTTAACCCTTTAGGGGATAAAGTATCAAGTTTATATATCCAATGTTTTTCACGTTTTAAAAGTTCTCTGTCAAAGTCACCTCTCTTTGCGGGAAATTAAGTGCATAAATTCCTTTAACTTTACTACCCTCTAGTTTACCCCCATGATATTTTGCATAATGTTGAGCTAATTTACTTTCAGGGTCATTCAATTTAATATCTCTAAGGTGTTCACCTATTCGCACTTTAAGCTGCCTTTTAGTTTTACCAATATACATTTTTTTGCCTGCAAAACTGGAAATACACTATACGATTTTGAAAACAAAGGACGTGTTCAAGAG